TTTTACGTGGTCAACTTTTGCGTTTTTAGCATAAGCCATAGCAGTTGTTAATATGCTTCTTTTAAATTCCGTTGTGTGTAGATTTTGCAGAGCCGTGTGCACGTACAGCCTTTTGGGTGCCCTCTCCTTGGGCCAAATGACTGAGTGTCACTGGGTTGTTGTTAGACGCGCTTAAGTTTCGCTCCTCCTCCTCTGCTATCTGGCAAGATTCCATTAGATTCGGGTTGAAATTAAGCATAGAGTGATGATTTCCTTTGCAATGCCTGTACTGGTATGTAAACTTGCACCTGTTGACCCCATCACCAGGTCGCCATCAGTTGTAGCGTAGTGATTTCTCCTTCACAAGTGATCGGCTCAGAAACTGCTGACAGCCATACAAAGTGTGTTCTGTAAAACTACATTTGGTGTGTTGTTGCCTTGCTTCCAGTCGCAAGCGTCTAGTTTTTCTAGAGCTAGTTAGATAATTCAACAATCGCGACCCGATTGATTCACCGCATCCAATCCAATCCAATAAAATTTTCGGCAAGTCGCTCAGATTTAAATTCGCTGTGAGTAAGGAATTAGAATTCGCTAATGTGACACCACCATCAACATGATCAGGCGCGTTTGGTGCTCTGACTTACAGCAAGTTGCCCAAATAGTTGTTGGTTTTACTGCAGCATCGTTGTTTGAATGAAGCCCGTTGTTGCCATTCGCACAGCTTGTATATGTCCCCGGTTGTAGGTCATTCCTTCTTTCCTTAAGTATAGCTTTTGCCCTTAGTTATTTTGCTTCGAAGACCGCATTGTCGATCTCCGGATCGACACAACCTTCTACCTCCTAGTGAATAGCAACGCAATCGCTGAACTGGTATAACTCCATCCAAACTTCGTTTAGGATTTCTGTGCCATCCCTTCAGTTCCAAAAAAAAAGTTTCACTTGTGAATCACCTTGTGAATCCCGTGGGACATGTCCTCTTGCACAAGTGAAGAACAAGTGACGCTCCATATAGAAAATTGTATGGGATGTCCGCATTTTCACAAGTGAAAATTCAAATGAAAATTTTTCGAAGTCCTACGGGATTTCACTTGTTCCTTATACTCATTTTTCGTATGGCCTGTCACGTGCCGGTGACTCGTCCCAAGTGAATCACTTGGGAAAATCAGAATTTTTCCTTGAGTTTTCACTTGTGAAATCACTTGCAAGGGACACGTCCCAAGTGAAACACTTGGGAAAATCAGAATTTTTCCTTGAGTTTTCACTTGTGAAATCACTTGCAAGGGACATGTCCCAAGTGAATCACTTGTGAAAATCAGAATTTTTCCATGAGTTTTCAATTAAAAAAATATAGAAGTTAATTCATTTCATTTTAATTCATTTTAATTATATGGTACTATTTAGATTTTCAAAAATTGTACAATTATTGTTTCTGTTTTTTTGCTTCGTAAGCTTATTTTTAACGTTAGACATCGCCGTTCTTAAACCTTTGTCCGGGTCCTCTGAATCCTTGGCCAACGCTCCTGAAAAAACATATGTTTAAAAAATGCGTTTTATTTGTTTAATTGTATATTTACCTTTTATAGCTTGTTGCAGAATTTTTATTGGCACAAAACATTTCGTCATCCACTTTCGGCTAACGGAACCCATTGAATACCTTCAAAATTTACGTACTTTAAACTAAGATCAATGCACAACATCTTAAACTTAATGTAGCACTTACCTGACTTTATTATATTAACTAAACGATTAAAGTAACTCTGCTGCGCACCATTAAAATGGATGCTTCCCTTTCAATCACTCAAACAGAATGCACCAAGTCTTCTCACCCCTTTACTAGATTTCTTTTGTTTTCTCTTCGCTGTTGGCGCGTGCCACTGCACCTATACCCTTTCTAAAGTGAAATATATCCGACTATATAGTTTTTACTTCTTGAGTAAAAAATACAATACGATTTTTTTTTAAATGGTAATACTTAAATGTTTTAAATACTTAAATCAATTTTAACGGACTAAATTTCTATAACTTAACTAAAAAATTATATTGTAATAAAAATGTATAATAAGTAAATATAACATTATAAGTAAATTCAATATACTAAATTTTACTATAATCAAATAGTTTACTTTTATAAAACAATATTAGTTGTTTTTTCGATACACAATAATGCTCCTAAAATATTAGGGCATTCACATGTCGCTGCTCCACGAAAATTTTTCCGCCGAAATATTAGTCGCTAGCCGAACATAACGGAGAGACGCAAAAAAAATAACGGACCAGCCGAAATTTGTCTCTGCGAGCGCGGAGTGCAGGCAGATTATAAGACAAGAAAGAGAGGGATATATCCGAATATCTGCCTCTCTTTGTTGCACGATCGTTTTCGTGGGCAGTCTTCTACGCTGCGCCGACTGCTCTGCTGACGTCAACAGCGGCACAGCGTTTTAGGCACAAAAAAAAAAACAAAAAAAGCTTTTTGCCTTGAGCCATGTCACCGCGTCCCTACTGCAGAACTGAAGGGATGCCAAAGAGTTCGGCACTGCTTTTCACTAATGATTTTTAATGTTCCAATGCAAACAGTTATCCTGAGAATCAAAGCACTTCAAAACTGTCCAAGAATCCGGAACGATGGACCAGCAACATGATCAGAAATATATACGATTCAGTTGTGTGCACTGTACTTAATTTTATTCTTGCCAGTTGCGAAGCCTATTTGATACTGAGTTGAATTTCACAGAAAGACGCCATCGTATCAGCGTTGCCAGAAAAAAAAATATATATACATGTTGGTTTTCTTTTACATCGGTTAAGTCATAGAGTAATGATGTATACAGACGTCATTTGCTCTACCGCTCTCTTTTGAGACTTTGCCAATGATGCCACCTAGGCGAAAACAGATAATATCCCTAGTTTTTTAAAAGTTTGATGGGACCTTGTAATTCCTTCCCGTAGTGAGTTTTAAGGGAAATTATATATCTGCACCGCTCTTACTCACTGTTTTGTTTTTGTAATTAGTCCTCAACACTATTGCTGTTGCTTCGCACTTGTTGGGTGTGTTGAAAAATCGAAGTTAGCTTCAAACTTGACCTTGAATTGGCTCTCAGCAGAGGTTGGGCAGAGGTTCGGGCAGAGCAAATGGTGTCTCTATAGATTGTTACTCTATGCCCGAAGTTATAGAACGGTATCGAAAAAAATTGGTTTGGGTAAGACGCGTTGAAAGTGCAAATGTGAAAATATAAAAATGCGAGGTAAATGCCAGATAAACCCTATGCTTTGTTCAAAAGCTATTCCAAAAACATATTTAGTTGCTCTTTTCAAAATGAAAATTTGTTACCCTTTGTAACCGTAAAACATTTCATAATGGTTTTGGGGAAAAATTTTGCTCTAATACGCTGAAAATCCAAAAAACGCAAGATTTTAAAGGCTTATAGTTTCGATTCGACTAGTGCTACGAATACATGTCGCTGAAGAGGTAATTCAATGTGCTAATTATGCTGCCTTTGCTTATATACAATGTACAATAGTTTAAAAACTGTAGTTCGTTTTTTTTTTGCCTTTTATTATTTTCTCCTCTCGATTTCTTTTTAAATTCGACGCGATATATAATAATCTATAATAATCTATTACACTCTTTGTCAAAAAATAAGCGTTTGGAAGATATTGAACGACAAAAGCCCGGTTTAGTATAATTGACTTTAAATGATTATTTGAATTCACAAAAAACTATCTACATAGATCCAATTTTCGGAAAAAATTCCTTATAAGATTTTATCAAGTAAGCGGAAAACACGGTTTGGTTTTGTAGGCCTGGACTCCGGACTATTGCACTAAAGTGGTCGAGATTTCCTTCCACTTTTGGAACAGTATAGCCCTTAAGATTCCTCAGCTAACTTCAAAGGGGGACGATCGCGCCTTCAGCGTACAAAAGTTCTAATATCAACTTATATAACGAAAAATGTTTTTTAATTCGACAAACAAATACGCTATCTTAAATTTATTCATTCCTATTGCTACAAAAAAAATGACCGTGTACATGTAATCAAAGTTACATGCGGACGAATTCTTGGACAACTTCTAGCACTGTGAAATTAATTGACTTTTCAAAAACCCCTGATATTAAACAAAAACACCTCTTAATGATGTAAAAAACAAGAGACGATCACATTACTATTCACAAAGTAAATACACTCTCTTAATTTTTCTCAGTAGGTACGCTTCAGCAAAATCGTACAGCTTCGCGTACAGCTCGCCGGCATATTGAATTGCAGCGTGCCGAATGAGAAAAATTTCGCAGCTCACTTCGATAACTTACCGATAATTTCAAAAGAGGAGTTCTGTCTCTCTCTCCTCTCACTCTCATTTTTTTTTTACGTCTTGCCCTTACTTCCTTATTCAACAACCTCAAAGCCTAGATTGCTTTTGACTCGAAATACTAAAATCGAAATCGCTTTCGTCTCGATATCGAGAAGAAAAAGTGAGAAGGCAAGATACTCAAACTGAGAAGAACCGATCTCGGATTCTTTCGTTCTTAATTTTTTTAGAATAATTATACTAATAGTACACACTGTGGACGTCAGTAACCGTAGTGACGAAGCGCGCAATTTACTGTGCAAAGGCGAAGCCGCAGATGTGAAAATCTACAGTGACGGATGGTTCATAACGAGTTACACACCGATCGAAATGTATTCTGACATTCTTAAATTTTAATTTCTAAGACTTTTAATAAGCCGATTGGTTCAGGAGGAATTGCGGTGAAAGTATAAAGAGTTAAGTTTAAAAGATTTAAGCTAAGGCAACCGGAGATGCGTCGAAAGTAGTTTCTCACCCGAATATACAACATATACATATAAATTATTTCAATTGTTGATTTTGAAGGAACCGATATAAGCGTGTCTAACAAGACAATGTAAAATTTTTATTCGAGACATAGTATGATGAACTTGTGTGTGTTGCAGATATGATCGTCACGACGATGTGAAAAAAACGTCGCTGAAAATATTGGAAATGTTCTGTTCATGACCACTTACAATAGAGAGCGGGGAGAGAAGGACGAAGTGGTAAAATAGCATGAAGGCTGTACCAATGTGAGACCAATGGAATTCACTGAGGTCCTCCACAGTGTACGCTCCTGAGAAAAAAAATATATGACTAAGTTTCAAACCAAGCTCCGTGCCTTATAATTACCGCTCCGAATAATATAAATAGGGATAATATAGAGGAGTGCGTGCTGGATCCAATATGTGGCCTGCTCGAAGGGATATGTGCGACCCTCAACCTCGGGGAAAAGAAAGGCCAGAAAAGGGCCGTTTAAGTTGCTCATCTGAATCCGAAAGAGCGCTGTCGTCGTCTTCGTGGGTTTGGCAGCCAGGAGAAAGATCTGTAAGAATTATATAAAACATTAATTTCAGTATGCAGACCACATTATTCATTTTTAACCTGCAGACACGATTGCACGTGGCATGGGTTTAGGGCGAAAATCATTGACTGCCCGGAGAGTTTAAAGCCCATCTCAATGCCGAAAATCATGGACAAGGCGATGAGGAAGAAAAGCCTCGTCGGACTGTGTGGCTTCTGAATCTCGGGAAGTGGTGGCAGTTTAATTGGCTGCAGTCGTTGCCAAGAGCGGTGCATTATAAAGATGAAAAGGGTGGACAACAGTATCGTCTCCATCCAACGCCGTCTGTCTGTCATGTAATTGATACATTCTGGCCCTGTAGTCCTCGGAATGTCATCGGATATGCCTGCAACTGCCCAGTCCCATCCCATTTTATGGCGGTATTATCTGCGATTTCGTTTTCCTGACAATTAAAATCCTGGAATTTACTTACAATTTAACTCATGCTTGTAAGGTTCTTTTTAAAAAAGGCGTCTTTAAATTTTGTAATCTCTTACTTATGCCCACCATTTTTGTGGCAATTAGGGACAAAAATATGTTAAAGAAGCAAAAAAGCATATAGTGCAAATTGGTCGCTGCTTAATATTAACTTATAAATATATATATAAATATATTTTTACATACAGCCGTGTTTTTGGTGCATGCCTATGAACATTTATTTTTTTTAGTACTTATAGACGTTTTCATATATGCATACATAGTTTCCAATCCTATCGGATGGTAATTGTAAAGTTTTTTATTTGATTTTAGATATCTTCCAAATAAAGATAATACGAGTAATGTCAATATGTATCGTCAAATAAATCAGTGCTGCCAGCAGTCACATTAAAACAAGAAAGAAAGTTAACTTGCGACAAGGTTATATATCCTTGCAGCTATAATTATTAAATTGAATTTGAAATTCTAAAAAATACAAAAAAAAAATATATCCAATAGTATAGATAATATTTAAAAAAACACCGATGCTATAATTTGTTTCATATTATTTTTCCACCAATTTTCTGATCGTTCCAATGCAGCTATATGATACTGTCGTCCGATTTTGATAAAATTAAATTCGAAATTCAGAACTAATTAAAAAATGTTATTTCCAAGCGTAGGAGGTTTTGTGTTAAAAAACACCAAATAATAATTTTTTAAAGTATTTTTTTCCGATTATTTCTATGGGAGCCTTTGTCCGATCCGGCTGTTTCCGACTTATATACTACCTGTAAAAGAAATAAGACTCTTGGGAAAGTTTCAGCACGATAGCATTAAAACTGAGAGACTAGTTTGCGTAGAAACGGACAGACAGACGGACAGACGGACATGGCTAGATCGACTCATCTAGTGATGCTGATCAAGAATATATATACTTTATGGGGTCGGAAACGTCTCCTTCACTGCGTTGCAAACTTCTGACTGAAATCATAATATCCTCTGCAAGGGTATAAAAACACCAAAGATATAATTTTTATACCCGTTACTTGTAGAGTAAAAGGGTATACTAGATTCGTCGGAAAGTATGTTACAGGCAGAAGGAAGCGTTTTCGACCCCATAAAGTGTATATATTCTTGATCAGGATTACTAGCCGAGTCGACCTAGCCCTGTCCGTCTGTCCGTCTGTCTGTCCGTCCGGATGAACGCTGAGATCTCGGAAACTATAAGAGCTAGGCTATTGGGACTTGGCTTGCAGATTCCTGAGCTTCTTACGCAGCGCAAGTTTGCTTCAGCAGCTTGCCGACCCCAATTTATCGCACACAAACCGTCCAAAACAGTGGCTCCAACTGTTTTGATGCTGGAGTAAAAATTTTAACTGAAATGTGTTGTTCTCATCAATACCTATCAACTAACCCAAAAAAAAGTTTGCCACGCGCAATTTAACGCCCACAAACTTCAAAAAATCGTATGTATGAACTTGGATATCTCGGAAACTATCAAAGATAGAGAATTGGGATCTCAGATTTAGATTCCGTAGCCTTGTACGCAGCGGAAGTTTTTTACGTGAATATGCCACGCCCACTATAACGCTCACAAACCGCCCAAAGCTGTGGGTCAAACGCGTCATGCACCAGCAGTAATCAGCGATCATGTTTTCATTCCATCTTCCCTAGTATCTTTCTTCTATGCTCCTGAAGTCCTGGTAAAATCGTTCCCCTAGCTCTTTGCTGTAAGCTCCAAGGTTTTGAGGAAATTGATCAAAATGACTATGCAGGTAATGTGCCTTTAAACTCATGTTACAGCCTAGTTCCTTGAAGTCGTGAAGCATGTTTTCAAATAAATCACAGTAACTTTAAGCAACTTTATTATTATTATTATTATTATTTCCCAGAAAATTTAAAAGAATTCCAAGTTAAAATTTCGCTTCTGTCATTGAATTTATAAAGCTGTTGTCATTTATCAGAGCTCTAATTTTTGGACCGTCGAAAATTCTACCATGAATTTTTCGTTACTTATTTTGGGAAATTTATTTGCGACATAATGAAAGCATAACCCTTGCTTGTTAAGTGCCTTTATAAAGCAAACCACATCTGCGTCATTGCCCCTGCTGTCCATTATCTTTAATGCTTCTTGCTTGTTTTACAAAACATGTAAGGTTATAGGGGCTTTATTATTTTTATACCCTTGCAGAGGGTATATTGATTTCAGTCAGAAGTTTGCAACGCAGTGAAGGAGACGTTTCCGACCATATAAAGTATATATATTCTTGATCAGCATGACTAGACGAGTCGATCTAGCCATGTCCGTCTGTCCGTCTATCCGTCCGTTTCTACGCAAACTAGTCTCTCAGTTTTAAAGCTATCGGGCTGAAACTTTCCCAAAAGTCTTATATCTTTTGCAGGTAGTATATAAGTCGGAACCAGCCGAATCGCACAACTGTATCTTATAGCTCCCATAGGAATAATAGGAAAAACAAATTAACAAAATGATATCTTTGGTGTTTTTTAGCATATAACCTCCTAAGCTTGGAAATAACATTTTTTAATTAGTTTTGAATTTTGAATTAAATTTTATCGAAATCGGACGACTATATCATATAGCTGCCATAGGAACGATCGTAAAATTGGTGGAAAATAATATGAAACAAATTATAGCTTCGGTGTTTTTCAACATATAACCTCCAACGCTTGGAAATAACATTTTATAATTAGTTCTGAATTTCGAATTTAATTTTATCAAAATCGGACGACTATATCATATAGCTGCCATAGGAACGATCGGAAAATTGGTAGGAAAATAATATGAAACAAATTATAGCTTCGGTGTTTTTTAACATATAACCTCCTACGCTTGGAAATAACATTTTTTAATTATTTCTGAATTTCGAATTTAATTTTATTAAAATAGCTGCCATAGGAACGATCGGAAAATTGGTAGGAAAATAATATGAAACAAATTATAGCTTCGGTGTTTTTTGACATATTATCTTATACTATTGGGAATATCATTTTTGTATTTTTATACTCGTTACTCGTAGAATAAAAGGGTATACTAGATTCGTCGGAAAGTATGTTACAGGCAGAAGGAAGCGTTTTCGACCCCATAAAGTGTATATATTCTTGATCAGGATTACTAGCCGAGTCGACCTAGCCCTGTCCGTCTGTCCGTATGAACGCTGAGATCTCGGAACTTACAAAAGCTACAATACTGGGATTAGGCATGCAGATTCCTGAGATTCCTGCGCAGCGCAAGTTTGTTTCAGCAGAGTGCCACGCCCACTCTAACGCTTACAAACCGCCCAAAATTGTGGCTCCTACAGTTTTGATGCTAGAATAAAAAGTTTAACTGAAATGTATTGGTATCGTCAATACCTATCGATTGCTCCAAAAAAAAATTTGCCACGCCCACTCTTACGCCCACAAACCGCCCAAGCCTGTGGCGCTCACAATTTTCATGCTAGATAACATTTTTTTACTGAAATGTATTGGTCTCTTCAATGCCTATCGATTGATCCCAAAAAAATTTGCACCCCCACTCTAACGCCCATAACGCTTAAATCTATCTACCGCCGGTAGGTGGCGCATTTCAATCTCGCTTTGCTGCTTGCATATCTCTATTTCCCTTTGGTCCCATTAGCTTAGTAACGGGTATCTGATAGTCGACTATAGCGTTCTTCCTTATTTTTATACCCGTTACTCGTAGAGTAAAAGGGTATACTAGATTCGTCGGAAAGTATGTAACAGGCAGAAGGAAGCGTTTCCGACCCCATAAAGTATATATATTCTTGATCAGGATCACTAGCCGAGTCGATCTAGCCATGTCCGTCTGACCGTCTGTCTGCCCGTCCGGATGAACGCTGAGATCTCGGAAACTATGGAAGCTAGGCTATTGAGATTTGGCGTGCAGATTCCTGAGCTTCTTACGCAGCGCAAGTTTGTTTCAGCAATGTGCCACGCCCACTCTTACGCCCACAAACCGCCCAAAACTGTGGCTCCTACAGTTTTTATGCTAGAATAAAAATTTTAACATAAGTGTATTCTTCTCATCAATACCTATCGAGTGACCCGAAAAAAAAATTGCCACGCCCACTCTAACGCCCACAAACCGCCCAAACCTGTGACGGCCACAGTTTTCATGCTAGATAAAAAATTTTAACTGAAATGTATTGGTCTCGACAATACTTATCGATTGGTCCAAAAAAAAATTTGCCACGCCCACTCTAACGCCCATAACGCTTAAATCTGTCTACCGCCGGTAGGTGGCGTATTTAAATCTCGATTTGCTGCTTGCATATCTCTATTTAACTGAGTAACGGGTATCTGATAGTCGAGGTACTCGACTATAGCGTTCTTCCTTGTTTTTATATAAAAACAAACAGATCTGTCCGGAGTATGAACAAAAAACTGATAAAAATTAAATTGGTTAGCTGAATAACGCCGTCTACAGTTTACCATCGACAGTTGGTGCAGCTATGACGACTAACGCAAAATATACAAGAGAAAACGCTATAGTCGACGGTCTCGACTATCAAATACCCGTTTCTAAGCTAACAAAAAAGCTCCACCTACCGGTTATTCATACGAGACTTTACTGATACGCCACAAAACGTGAAACCTAGTTGACCCTAGTGATATTTCGCAAGCAGCCAATTTTCTGTATGAATATTTCCCATCCCTCTCGCACTCTATTGAGTTGGCTAATAATTTATTTTTGTTTGACTTTAACTTTTTAATTAATGGTTTTACTTTAATAATTTTTGGCATGCACATGGGTATTGATAACCCAGTCGAACCTTCAGGCATGTGGTGCTTGATTCCACAATAATTTCAATAGGAAAAATTCAAGGGTAAACTTTTTCAGGGGGTTTCAGGGGGAATTTTTTCGACGAAGCGTTCGATGGTCGTTTACATAAGAAATTCCATATGAAATGTTTTGTTTTCACCAATACCTTTCGATTGGCTCAAAAAAAGTTTGCCACGCCCACTTTAAAGCCCAAA